CTAGACCCTTCTGATGAAGGGTCTAGGCCCGAAACGTCAGCCTTTCTGCTCGGCCTGCTGTGTTCATCCAGCTCTGCACCTGGTTGTCTCAGCTAAAGGTGGTTTTCAGCTTTAGCATCTGAATGATTGCCTGAGGGATCAGCTCAGCTAGGAAAGCCCAATGTTCCTTTTATTTTATTTAAAAGCCAGAACGAATGGCAGGAAAGATTCTGGTGCCATGCCACAATGAACAAGTTGGCAAGGTCAAGCTTGGATCTCAGGGTTCCTCTGTACCTCTTTCTTGACAGTTACATCACCGAGCAGTCATTAACTCAAAACAACCCTGCAAAAAATAACACCCAGACAAATCATTTGCTGTTCCTTCACATCTACTGTTAATTAAAAATAATCAGTAACTTTCCATGTTAATTTTTTAAAGAAATTTGTTTCTTTCATATTTACCCCTCATCCATGCCTTGATTATTTCTCAAATTGACTATTCCAATGAACTCCTGACTGGTCTTGCACAGCACATTCTACCCTCCATAAACATGAGGTTACCTAACACTCTGATGCCCATGTCTTAAATCAAAGCCAGGTCCTACTCCCTTGTGTTCACTGACCTACTCTCACTCCTTGTCAAGCAATATCAGAAATTCTCATCCTTGTTTCCAAATTTCTCCAAGGCTTCATTCCTCTCTATCTCTGTAACCTCCTCCAATTCTATAAAGTCCGAGATCTCTGTACTCCTCCAATTCTGACCTCTTGTGTACTCCCAACTCTAATCACTCCATCACTGGTGGCTGTGCCTACAGCTGCCTAGTCTCTAAACTCTGGAATTGCTTCCTTAATCCTTGCTGCCTCTCGAGCTTGCTTTTCTCCTTATGTGCCTTTGCATCACACTTTATTTCATAATGCTCCTGTGAAGTGCCTTGCAATGTTATATGACAGGCACAATGTAAATACAAGTTGTTTTTATCTCCCTATTTCTCTCTACTAAAGACTGCAAGTATGATCATGTTTCTAATCCTGTTTTATGAAAATCCATTGTCAGGATGTTGGCATCATTGGTACAATCAATATACATCTCTCGCTCCTATAGCTCCTTGAGAACAGCTAGGAATCAATCACATTACTGCAGTTTGGAGTCACATATAGAACAGACTGGGTAGGAAAGGCAGATTTCTTACCCTACAGAATATTAGCCAGTTGGGTTATTCATGATATTCTGGTAGCTTCATGGTCGCTTTGTCTTTTTTCAGACTTTTATGACAAATTATAATATTAAATTCTCAAATTGCCATGGTGAAATTTGAACTTGTATTCCCTGTATGATGACATGTTTAGTCAAGGAAGGTAGCTATCTTAGTGCTACACTAAGCTATATAAACTGAAGTTTCTGAAAGAGTTAATGTGAAGCTGCATTAAGTCTTAACCAATGTGATGATGTGGGGGGAGAGATAGTAGGAACTGCAGATGCTGGAGAATCTGAGATAACAAGGTTTAGAGCTGGATGAACACAGCAGGCCAAACACCATCAGAGGAGCAGGAAGGCTGACGTTTCGGGCCTAGACCCTTCTTCAGAAATCTGAAGATGATGTGGGACAGACTTTGAGTGGAAACTTGGGCAGTCTAGCACAAGATCCTAATAGTCTTACGTAACTAAACTTAACTAGTCAATGTAATTTGTACCTTTTGTTCTCTTACTAATAAACTGTCTCATTATGTAAGACATGTTCCTTCTCTTGTTAAGATTCACCATTAGTCTATCCTGTACAATTGATAATTAGATAGGTCCTTTGACTCAGCCCTAACCATTTTTGTTAACATAAAGTTTAAAAGAATATTAAGGGGGATTGGTGGCAATGAACTACCCAACCACAAACTGACAGTAGTTAGTAATCCAGAACTCAATATGACACATTGATGTATCAGCTTCATAAACCACCCATTAATACTTCCTGAATGAGACACAGGATTAATTGAATGCTCATTTTATTTCATTGTGTGCAGGAACTTGGTATAAGCTGATGATTCACTTGTATCTCTATAAATAGACAAAGAGTGGAACTGTGATTATTGGATTAGGAGATAAATGCTTGTAGTATGTAATTTTGTTAATAAATGTTGAAGTGTGTGAAGATTGGCTCCAATTCTATCCTTCGTCGACTGGTTTTCTGGCATGGAACATATAGCTCACCTCATTGTTGAGGATCTCCATTTGAAGTAGGCTTCTTAAGTTGGTTGTTTTCAAAATGAACACTGTGCAATGCAGCTTCTTCTTCTGTTGGCACCTAGAGATTCATAGATGGTGCCAAGAGTTAATTACATCACAGATACAAAACCATCATGACCCAAACAGCCTTTGTTGAAGAAATTTCACTTCATTGGCAAAGCAACATTTGCTTCAAACACTTGCAGGTTTTTATTTACTGACCACCAGGTGAATTATTGGTAAATATCAAGCTCACGAGGTGTGGAAGGAGGTTAGACTGAATGATTAAATTTCATTATCAGATGGTGCATACATGGACAGTAGACAGAATAGGCTTTGTGGGTACAGTGATCTTTCTTTATTTTGTGAACAGCCATTTGGATGGGAATGGCTTACGTTTACAAGAATTTCTTTATAATTGCTTTCTATTTTGTTTACAACATGAAACTGTGCTGTTGATTATCATTAAAAAGAAAGACATGAAAATTGAAGAGCATTATACATGAAATTTTACAAATTCTTAGTTCACAGGCTATTCTTAGGGAATGTCTGGTGTGTCATTTTCCATTGTGTTAAAAAAAGTTGCTTTACATGGCCTCTGCTTTTTTTGCCAATCAACCCCGGCCACAGGTCTTCTGATGACAAATTCTTCTACTGCTGGGAGTAGTTTCTTATCATTTACTCAATCAAGGCATAAAGCTTTAAATTGGGAACAGGGAACAGTAAGACAGATGGGCCGACTGATTTCCTGTTCTCTGAGAACAACTGTTCTCAGCTTTATAACAGTATAAGGTTAAGAAGAGCAGGAGGGAAGTCAAGAAGTTGTACTTAGCTGATGTTGGGTCGAAGCACATAGAATGCAGGATGAAGGAGAGCCTGAGTGACATTTAGGGAATTCGAGGGATTTCAATGTCTTAGGAAAGAAGGAACCACAGTAGGAGACTATTTGAATTCTACAAATGAGACACTCTGACTATGGTGAGCAGCTAGTTACATAGTAAATGATTCAATAAACAGAAACCTCTGTAATATGAATTGATACATAATATTAGTGAAGAAGATTCTTAACTTATGCAGGGTATTAACTAGATCCATTTACCAAAATGACATATAAACAGACATTCCCAGTTAAGGTTTTAACAGATGCACTGATTAACTCTGACAGATGCCAATATGGCAAGAAGTAAATCTATCTTTTAAATATGCTCAGTTCCAAAATTATGGCTATGGGGACTAAGTGGATTGATTTACAGGGAGTTGCTGCAGACATAATGGGATGAATGGCCTACTTTTCTGGTGTGCCAAGCCATGTGAAGTAAAAGAAGATACAGATCCTGGTATCATTGACGAGGAGTCACAGCTCTAGTTATGCCATTACCGTAAACACGCTCTTGAACTTACCTCCCAGTACACCTCATCTTCAAAGCAGTTTTCATCTGATGGATCGCCCCAGAATGGCAACTTGAGAATAAAACCTTTGGAGAAAGGAATCGTCAACATTGATGAGTGACTTTTAAACTGATTTTAAACTATTTTACTTTCCTGGGATGATAAATCTGCACAAATATTTTCTAATCAAGAGATGTTAATACACACCTCTCGAGCAGGTGGAATTCATGTTGCGGTCTCTTGGCTCAGAGACAGGGACACTATCACTGCACCACAAGAACGCTTGATAAAATTATGTAGGGGATTGTCAAGAGGGACTATTCATGTGGCAATAAAGGAATGGACCAACATGTTTTTAAAAATTAAGCAAAGGGGCTTCCTTAGCCTATTTGGACCTATCTCTCTAGATTGTCAACCTAACAATCTCTAATTATAGCAACCTCATTAACCACTAAGAAGAGAACACAGGCTCCAGAATGGGTACAGTACATTTAGGGGCATGGAGAATTTCTTTGCACATAGTGAGAAACAAGAGCTGAAGCTGGTTGCCAGGAAGGGTGGTTGAATCTATATAGAGCTATAGGCAGTAATGGGAAGACAGTAGGTTTGGTATAAGGATGAATGAGATCAGGTGGGCTTTTATATCCAAAATCAAACTTGTCAAATCAATGTTACTGCTACTTGTAATACTTTAATGGAAGCTACTATTCCAAACATTGGAATATCTGATCTCATGCAGAAAAACAACAAATTTTATTCTTTCTTTCAGATTAAAGTAAACTATAATCAAGTTTCTTCTAGATTTTCATAGGTACTCTAATATGTAATAATATATTAACACCACTAGGTGGTAGGCAAAGTCCAGCCTTTTCGTTCCGATCACAGCTTCAGAAACTCAGTCGCGATTTCTTAAAGGTGCAGACCTTTAATGAAAAATGTCTGCTAAATCTACCCTCTCTGTCGCTAACAATCACACAAAAATATGCTGAAAATAAATTCAAATGCCATCCTGAAGTTCTGATGATTAAAAAGATCACTGATGAGCAAAACACTCGAGTCCAGATATTCTGATGGTCAGATAATCCTTGGAGTAGCCCATTCTCCAGTTACGCATCAGGACCTTGTAGAATTCCAGATACTATAGACTCCTTGGGAAATGCTTCAGTTGATCATTACTGAGGGAAAGTTGGATGGTTGAAAATCTTACCTAATTCCTGGATAACTATTAAGCTAACTCTTCAACTCACCATACACACATGCACGCGTGCGCGCGCGCACACACACACACACACATACACACACACAACTCAACTACAGTTCCCCTGAGCAGTTAAACTCCCCAGATCCCTGGCAACCACCTCCCTCCATTATCCTTTTGTGATGAAATGTGTATGATGTGTAAATACTAATGTAATTTATACAGCTTAGATTTTAAAATAGTGGCATACGGGATTATTTCGTTTTCTGAAAGGTTTGAAAACATTTAGGTCAGATAATCCTCTGGAACAGTCACCACTCCAGTACATATCTAGACAATGGGAGGTAAAAAGAGAACGGAATATGACATTGAAATAGAGGATCAGCCATGATCATGTTAAATGGCCAAGCAGGCTTGAAGGTCACAATGGCCTACTCCTGCTCCTAGTTTTCATGAGCTTCATGACTCAATCTCCTCCCATTAATTAAACATGTTTACTGGCTGTTGCATTCCATTCTGCTTCATTGCCTAAGATCAGGGTCTAGGCTACTCACCTACAACAGCTCCCCCGCCCACACTCAGAAGGAGAGTGACACACAGCGCCGCAGCCTGAAACCCTCCCTGGACACTGGGCGTCCGATCTGCAAATCCGTCCACGAAACCAAAAGCATCAATCAACCTGAAGAGGGGGAAACAGATTGGTCACAATATGATACAGATTCCAAACACAAATAGCTCCAGAACAGGAAGAACCTGGGGTCTTTCTACTGCATACATTGGATCAGGGATAGGAGTTACGGCCCCAGTATTGTAGTCACATGTCATGCATTAACCAGTGTGTCATGGTGAAAAGCAAAAGTCTTCTTGCAGGCAGGCCTGTGTTTAAATAAAAACAGAATGTGATAGAAATACTAAGCAGATCTGGCAGTATCTATGGAGACAGTAACAGCGAGAGGGACAGAGAGAAGAGAGAGAGAGAGACATAGAGACAGACAAAATTAATGGCTCAAGTCAAACATGACACTGTGAAATTCTTTTTCTGCTCTGAAGAAGGTTCATAATCAATTTGAAGGGTTAACTCCCCATAGATGTTGCTGATCTGTTGAACTCTTGATATTTTTATTTCATAATTCCAGCATCTGCAGCATTTCACTTTTACTTAACTTTGAATAATTGGTTAGTATGGAAGGGAATAGTAAATCTATTTGTCTAATGATAATATTGTGAATACCAGGTACAAGGAAAAGTCATATTGGACTTGAAACATCAATGAGACTTTCTGTATGTCATCATACATAACATATACCACAGAGATTTTGGTTCCTATTGAGACAGATATCCAGAAGTTTATTAATAGCTAACTACAACCACTAATATGAAATCTCAGACTTCCACATAAGGATTATGTTATATGCTTAGGTGGATCAGAATGACATTTCGTACATAGTTGACTGTTTGCAGCTTCTCTGCTTGCTAACTCCACAGAGACTAAGATGACTTTTTATATTAAAGTGTCACATGCCATGATTCCTCTAGCTGTCTTAAAGATGTTGTGCATTTCTGAGATCCATGCAATTATACAAAGCACAGTGCATAGGGGCTGAGTGATTCTACTGAATCACATGCTGATCACATCAACATATCCTTGTTTACTAGATGCCTCCCTTATTACAGTGCTGTCTGCTTCACCTACCCTTCTCTGCTATACACTCCTTCAGTTGCAGCTGCAGCAGTGACAGCTCCCACAATAGCTCCAATCACGCCCGGAATACCATGCAGGTTGTGGATGCCACAGGTATCTTGTATCTTAAGGTATTTCTCCAGGAGTGGCTTGAAACAGAAAATCACACCATTAGATCTTGCAAGAACTTTGTTATAAATTTCACATGCGCCAATGTCATCTCAGGCCATGGAGTTTGAACATGGAAATGAACACAATGCTTGCAGGTGTTGAGGCTTTTTCTAGTCTGAGAGCAGCAAAAGATTTATCCAACAGCATTTCAGAGCAATTTCAGTATCCAGCTCAAATGTGAATTCGCTGTCCCACAAAATGAGGAGTTTTGATCAATTTCAACATAGGCCTTGCCAATTTCTTTTTTAAAAATGTCATTACAACTAATCCTACAGCCCCGCTAGTGAAGCTGAGATATAGGAACTCACCGAGAGGAAGATGAAGCCTAATGTTGAAATAGTTCCTGACAGAGCTCCAACAATCAGTGATCCATAGGGAGTGAGCATCATTTCCGCAGCTGTGCCAAGAGCTACCCCTCCAGCAAGCGTCCCGTTCTGAACGTGAACCTGGCAAGGCAAACAACACAGAATCCCCACAATTAGGGATTCTTCGTGGCTCAGTGCTGACACCCATTTTGGCCAACCTTTCAGTCATCCTGTCCATGCCTGGTCACTTAAGTATGCATGCACACTTGCACAATGCACACGCACATAGACATTGGGGAGGGTGTGTATATACATGCTAGTGTGCCCACGTAAGTGTGTCTATGTGCATGTGCATTGTACACCTGTGTGCACATGCACATACACACACTTACATAGACATACAAGCCCATATAACACACAGCCACCAAAAAGCCCATGCGTACAAGCATACATGCACATCATTCTGGACATATGTGCATGCACACATTTGTAACCATATGCATTTACACACTTGGACAGGTATACACACACACACACACACACACACACACGCTCACAGTGGTACACATGCAGGTACACAATTACTTTTATGTAGGGTTTGGGATAATGATCAGGAAATACTCGCTGAATAGCCCCTCTCTCCTCCCTGTCCCATCTTCTACCTACCCTCTCGCTCCCACCCCTAGCTATGATTAAATAGGCAGTACACCTCCCTTTTCCTTATTCCAGTTTCAATTCATTGGAATAAGAGGAGCTCATCCAGCACCTTGAGCCTCTTTGACCATTGAATTGCATCTTAGCTGATCTGCACCTTAACTATATCTTCCCATTTCAGTCGCTTTGCTCAGTGATATGCTTCAGCTCAACTGTAGTGGGATAGATTGAGAAATGTTGGAGTTGATAAGTTACCAGGGAGAGGAGTGTGTCATTCCATTGGCCTGAGCTAGAATTGAACATGACTATAGAAGGGTGTTTGTCAGAGTGTAATAACAGGGGGTAGGGGCTCTAGGAGGCGCACTGTGTTACATCGAGGGCGAGGGGCAGGGTCATAAGCCCTGCAGCAGGAACAACAATAGGACCCGTGATTTCTGGCCCTGCCCGTGCCTGGAGGTGGAAGGTTAGTGACACGCCAACAGTTTCAATAAAGTGGCACAGGTGAGGTCTAGTAAGATTCAGTCCCAATCCCAAAGAGGAGTCACATGGGACTCAAAACACTACCTCTGCTTCTATTTTCACAGATGCTGCCAGACCTGCTGAGTTTCTCCAGCAACTTCTGTTTCTGCCCAGTAAGGTGCTTTCTTACCATGTTAATTTTGCCCTTCTTCTCAAAGACGCTGGAAATGGCAATGGTAGTGAGGACACTTGCCGCCAGTGAGCAATAGGTGTTGATGACACCACGATGCTGGGCATCCCCGTGGTTTGAAATTGCTGAGTTGAAGCTGGGCCAGAACATCCAGAGATAGAGAGTTCCTGCGGGGGAGAGCAAAAGCCCTTGTCAACCCTGAGCAAAATGTCCCCCTTGTTGTGCATTAAAACTTAAAAGCTTTTAGACAAAGTCTACTTTCTAGTAAAAGTTTTATTTCAACCAACCTTCTGCTGACTCTTCTTTACGTGTATTTTAATAATTATTTTTAATCAACTCGTTCAGACATTTTATGACACACTTCTCAGGTAGATGGGAAATGAACCCGTTTCTTTTGGCTCAGAGCTAGGGACACTAACACTGCATCACAAGACCTGATTAGTTCACAAAAACCTGCTTGCCTTGTTAACTTTAATTCTTAGGTATTTAGCACCCTATTAACAGAATTAAACACTCGTACAAACACGACAGTAAGGTTTCTTGCAGCTTTCTCTCTTTTAATGAGAAAATATATAAAATGATAATATATTGTATGCTGGAAAATATCAGCAGGTCTGATTCCTTTAAATCATTAAACTCTGATGTCTCTCCACTGATGCTGCCAGACCTGCTGACTCTTTCCAGCAATTTCTGTTTTGTTTCTGATTTCCAGATCCACAGTTCTCTTGTAATTTTTAATAATATGATAAATTGCATTATTATGCAGTCTTTAACAAACCCTATATTCTACCACAGCTTAAAAAATTAATAAGGTTACAACATGAATCATTCTTTATTCTTACAACTGGTTAGAATGTAAGGCATTTGTCCCAGTTCAAGAACTTCCACAATTTTTTTTAAAATAAGCATCTCTTCTTGTAAAGCAATGCAGAAGCTGATTAATTAGGTCAACCTATTTTACTTTTGAAATGTCCTTTGTTTAAAACACTTTGAGTGGACAATATGCCAGGGTAACAAGTATCAATGTAGCTTTCTATACTCACATTTTTCCTGATTGGCCCTCTATAGACTTCCTTTAAAATGCTAGATAAATGCATAGCCATATTGGTTGCTTCTACCAGCATAAGTGCCTCTGTAACTGAAGTGCTTTTAAATACACTTTTTAAAAAAAAAATTCTTCAATTTCCAATCTAATGGACAACATTTACCATTTCTTCCCAATAATAAAACATGAATACAGCTGTATTTGAAAAACCATTCGTAAGATTGGCATGTTTGTTGAACTAATTCTCATTGTTTCTGGATCATCAAGGGATGGAAAGCTGAGTGTACATTGCTCTAAACTTAATGGCTCTAATACTCCAGTCGCTGGAAAATTGTTGGAGCAGTGTAGACTGGAGTGCCTCTCGGGACCATGTGGAATTGGCTGACTCTGTGAAAATTGCTCAGGAAATTGAATCTTCTGAAGGGCAATTCTCTTTCATCCAGAATCCTCCAAAAAATCTTTTAGAGTCATAGAATTCAGAGAATTCTGACTTAATTGAACTTAACCATTACCCAGGAAAAATTAAAGGATTAAACACCTAGTCTGACTCCTGGCTAACTATTAAACTGACCTCCTGACTCACTATTACCCCTCCACAACTGCACCTCCTCACGGATCCCTTAGAAACTGCAGACCCATGTCAGCTACTCCATGAACCAGAATTCCCAAAGATCCCAAACCATTTCACCCCCACTGACACTCCCTATGTCACCCAATCCAACCCTCACCACTTAATCGACACTAACGGAAGTATCTGAGTTGATTTTTTTTAAATGTCTAATTTGCCTTCAGCACTTCTGCAACAATAACATGTTTCAACATGGTTCTCAATTCTAACACATCATAACTTGCACCTGGTCTGGCTTGTATGTGTAACCCAATTAAACTTGTCAGCTGATCTGCCTCCTACTTAATTGTAGCGTCTTCCCTTTGTGAGGATCTATTTCAATTTATCAGGATCCTATTACTATTCTCTAGTTAAGACTTGATTCAAAGTTATCCTGACTTAATCTGTCTCATCTCCAATCCTCTTTATTGAAAAGCTCTTCAAGTCTCATTTACAATATTTAATTCTGCTTTAAGCCTTTAAATGACAATATTTTCAAATTTCCTACTCCTATTCCACAAAAAAACTACATGCAACATAAAGATGCCTGAAAATTTCCTCCCACAGTACCAAAGAACATGGCAGGGTCTGCTTTTAATTGGAGGCCATCCAACTTTAATAGTATGAACCTTGCTGAGATGTATCAAACTCTAGAGGCATAACTTATAGTACTACATTTGGAAGTTTCACAAGTGAATATGAAAGTATGGGCCGATGCAATTAAAAAGTTTCAAATGGGAGATTGGGTATTGGTATTGTTGCTTTTATAGGATGAATTTCTGAAAGTGAAATTCAGTGGTTCATACAAAGTAGTTAGGAGGGTGAGTAAAATGACTTATCTGATCATTATCACTTACTGTAGGAAGAAGAGTCGTCTTATGTCACATAAACATGTTGAAAAGCTATTGTTCCATAAGAAAGGAGCTAGTGTGTCAGGTAATAAGAGCAGGGAAGGAGACAGAGACGATAAGAATGAGTTGGAAGGAGAGGTAGGCATTTTCAAAATAAACGCCATACAAATTGATTAGCTAACACAGAAATACTGGGGCAGTTAGACAGTGTGTACTCATTTTTAGAGAAAGAACAATGGTAGGATCTTCTAAGTTGACTCCAAAAATAATCTGTAAAGATACACCTGTACGTATTACAGCAGCTAGGCATAATGTGGATGCACGAGTGTCAGTGCCAATAAACAGCATCCTTGTTAGTTGAGCCCAGATAAACATGCTTAGGTGAAAATCCTGGGACTTTTAGCAATGTATGGGGTTTATTGGAAATTTGTACACAATTTCAGCATATTAGTTGTACCTGTGATATATTTGTTGAAGGAGCATGTAAAAATGGCCCAGTCAGAATGTGAAGCTGCCGTTGGGAAGCTGAAGGTAGTCCTGATAAATGAACTGGTGTTGGCCACCCTTGATTTTTTCCAGACCTTTCAAAATGGTGATTGATGCTAGTGACTTGGGGATGGGTGCAGTATTGATTCAAGGTGATGAGTAAGGAATAGAGAAATCAATGGGTACTTCGTTAATAGACTAAACAGTTTCAGGAGAAGCATTCTACTGTGGAAGAGAAGACTTTGGAATTATTATTGGCTCTTCAGCACTTTGATGTCTATGCACTACATGGCAACAGAGAAATATTAATCTGCACCATCATAATCCAGTGGCATTCATTGAAGAGTTTACAACACAAAATGCGAGAGTATTTAGATGGAATCTTTTGTTGCAACTATTTATTGTAAAGATTATTCACATTGGTGGAAAAGATAATATAATTACAGATGCATTGTCCCAACTATAAGATGATGGAATACAGTAAAGACTTAAGAAATGCTAAGGCTGTATAAGTGAGATGAAGGATGAATAGATGTAAGTCTCATGTTTTGTGTTTTCTGCATCACATATTGTGTGATGAAACATCGTTTTGAAATTACATTTCATTTTATAAGGACGGAGGCAAGTAAAGACTGTCTCTACCTTTTTTTCTATATTTTGATTGTGAACAGAAATGAAAAAAGGATCGTTTTACAGCACTGGACTGAGGGAGGAATTGCTGTACTTTTAAAAGCAAGTCACTGAAACTCATTATAAGTCATGTTTACACTGCTGCTTTGCTCAAGCAATTGGGGAGGCTGTTGTAAGCAGGGCTGGCACCTGAGTGTGGGTCATTGAATTTATTCAAGGCAAGGTTAGATGGAACTTCAGTTGTCAAGAGAGACAGGGGTTATCGGTGGAGGGTGTGGAGGCAGGAAGGTGGATTTTAAACCACAACTTTATCAACCAGGATCTTACTGAAAGGTGAATCAGGCTCAAAACGAGCAAATGGCTGACTCCTGTTTCTGTGTTCCCATGTTCCTAGTGCCAAGCTATACGAACATAGCTGCCAACTGCCTACATTTGAAATAAACTTTTCCAGCCCTGTTACAGAACTAACTTACTTGATTCTCTGATGTTGGTTTCTCAGGTGAAGGCTGATTCCTCAACAGGCCAGGAATCTTGGCCCATTCATAAGATTTCCAGTCATTCCCACTTTAAGGAATATTTTCTTTACTTACATACATTTAAAGCGATTAGTAACCTGGTACATCAGTAATACACTGGTATCGTGTGAAAACCAGAAGTTGTGGGACCCAGTCTAGGCCCAATAAAAAAGGAATCAGCAGAAGAGGTGGCAGGCAGGTATCCAGAGTCATGTGCAAAAAAGATAACAAGCAACACAGAGGGGAGGGTGGTGACACAGAAGAGTAAAGCCACTACTCAGAAGAGACGACTGGTAGAGGATCAGAGAGGTTCCAGGCAGCAAAACGATACCTTGTACTGGCTCCAGATGAGTGGGACCATGAATGGTTCCCTGGGGAAACTCAGGAATTGGTGACTCAGTCTTGGCAACCAGTCTGGAAAGATGAAGTTAAACCACCAGGAGGTGCACAGATGTTCAGGGACTCCAAGACAGGGAGTTTGTGGAAGGTGTTCAGAAATGGAACCTTCAAGAGTGGAACCTTCGAGTGGAAATCCTTCTGAATGATGAGTAAGCATTCAAAAAATTGTTGTAATTCAGTTATCACTGACCTTTTGCTGATTTGCTAACAAATGTGAGGTCACGCCTATCATTTAATGTGCAGGGCATTGCATTTGATAACAGTCTGCTTGTTAATTCATATTTGCCTCAGGCTAATGTTGGATGTTAGAGTATAAGATGGACACCGCAAGTTATTTTACTTTGATCATTATAGTAATGCTTATGTTTGGTTGCTTAAACCAATGGAATCCTGTGGTTTTATTCTATTTGTAAGGATTTGGGATTGCCGAACTTCATCTAATTTAATGAACTAGTCACCAATTTCTAACCAGACCATAACCAAACTTGGGGATTTGATTTGAGGTCATTCACCCTATTTGCTAACATGGTAAACTCATTTGGTAGGGCTTAGTGATTAATTCTTCAGTCCAAACTGAGAACTTGCACAGAGATGAGGTATACAGCTATGGTTTCTGAGATTCCAGTGGACATCTTGTGGTTATTTAGGCATAACTAGTGGTTCTCATGTTGAATTGATACCTGAAAATTATTCATGTTTTCTTCTGACTTACAGAGTTGGTAATTGCAGATCAACGTCTGTGCTTTAACCTAAAAGCAATAAAGCCAGGGATGTTTCTCACCTGAACCTTACAGTAACAGATAAGCGGGGCTGAATTTTACCAGCCTTTTGAAGATGAATTGGGTGAGAAAGATGATGGCTGACTTTTTACAGAAATAACAGGGGATATGCGGCACAGAAATATGCCCTGGATACTGCAAAGGCTGTGGGCCCTGACAATATTCCAGCCATAATACTAAAAACCTGTGTTCCAGAACTCGCCGCATCTCTATCCAAGCTGTTCCAGTACAGTTACAACACTGGCATCTACCTGACAATGTGGAAAATTGCCTATGTATACCCTGTACACAAAAGCAGGACAAATCCAACCCAGCCAATTACCACCCCATTAATCAATTCTCCATCAGCAGTAAAGTGAATGGAAGGTATTGTCAACAGTGGTATCAAGCAGCATCTGCTCAGTAATAACCTGCTCAATGACACCCAGTTTGGGATCCAGCAGGACCACACAATTCCAGACCTCAATACAACCTTGGTTCAAACATACGCAAAACAGGTGAATTCAGAGGTGTGGTCAGAGTGACTGTCCCTGATATCATGGCCATATTTGACCAAGTATGGCATCAAGGAACCCGAGCAAAACTGAAGCCAATGTGTGTCAGGGGGAAATGTCTCCAATGGTTGGAGTCATACCTGGCACTTTGGAAGATGGCTGTGATTGTTGGAGGTCAGTCATCTCAGCCCCAGGACATCTCTGTAAGACTTCCTCAGGGTAGTGTCCTAGGTCCAACCATCTTAGCTGTTTCATCAATAACCTTCCCTCCATCATTAGGACAGATGTGGGAATGTTCACTGAAGATTTGCACAATATTCAGCTCCACTCATGACTCCTCAGAAACTGAAGTAGTCCATATCCAAATGCAACACGACCTAGGCAATAACCAGGCTTGGGCTGAAAAGTGGCAAGTAACATTCACATTGCACAAATGTCATCTCCAATAAGAGACAATCTAATCATCATCCCTTGATTTTCAATGGCATAACCATCACTAAATCCTCCACAATCAACATCCTGTGAATTGCCATTGACCGGAAACTGAACATTCACCACATAAACAGAGTGGCTACAAAAGCAGTCCAGTTGCTGGGGAAACTGCAGCAAGTAACTCACCTCCTGACATTCCAAAGCCTGTCCACCATCTACAAGACACAAGTCAGGAGTTGGACAAAACATACCACACTTGCCTGGATGAGTACAGCTCTAACAACACTCAAGAAGCTTAACACCATCCAAGGATGAAGCAGCATGCCTGAATGACACTACATTCATAAACATTAGTCAATGTACCATCGATGGTCAGTAGCAGCAATGTGTGTTATGTACAAGATACACTACAGATATTCACCAAAGATCCTCAACAGCACTTTCCAAACCCACCACCACTTCCATCTCGAAGGACAAGGGCAGCAGGTGGGAACACCACCACCTGCCTGTTCCCCTCCATTTCACTTACCATCCTGACTCAGGAATACCTTTGCCATTTCTTCAGTGTCACTGGGTCAAAATTCTGGAATTACCTCCATAAAGACATCGTGGGTCAATACATGGACTGCAGTGGTTCAAGAAGCCCATCAGTATCTTGTCAAATGCAACTAGGGCTGGGCAAGAAATACTGGCCAGCCAGTGACAGTCACACATCCACACCCCACAAGTGAATAAACAAAAAGGCTATGCCAGCAAACTACACCGCAGTGTACCACTGTCCATCAAAAAGGTGTCTCCCCCCTCGCCAATCCCACATCACCACACTTTCAAACTAGCAGTGGAACCTCTGACATCCATATATAAAAAAAAGCCAGCCCAAGATTTTCAATTGGTAACTCGGGACTTCATCAAAACTGATGGACAAAGCCCTTTTGTACTTTGAGCTGAACACTAGTTAACACGTCAGAGGCATTCATTGGTCATGTAAATTAATTACAGATTGCCCAAGTTGTCAACAAAATCTTTCAGTTCATCTAACCTTTGCATTATGCATCAAGAGGAAAATCTTCTCTTTATGGAGATCCAACTGAGTTGCATTAAAAGAGTGATTAGAGAGATTGAACAGTATCGATGATTAAAATTTCTTCTTGAGGTGTGGGCTTCTGGACCATACATTCTGCTTCATTGGAGTTTCCTTTCCTCTTTGAAAGTTCTTAAATTCGCCATTACATCAGTGAAGGAAGTTGCAGTAGTGGGTACAGTGGAACTGTCAATATTTGTCATCATTACTGCTCCAAAACAATGTGAAAATCTAAATAACTGCAATCAATTAGAAATCACTGAGCTGACAAGAAATTCCCCTCTTACACAATAATATCACTGTTAAAAACCTCCCTCTGTTCTGGTTAATGAAGCAAAATGCTGACAGCAGTATTCTAAGTCATAACTATTGTTGAAAAAACTCTTTGGCCCTGAAAAACTAATTTTATATGCTCCTATTTCGAGTAAAATTCTAGGTTAATTTATTAATTTATGATGGTTCAGCCTCTAATACCCCAATATTTATATTGCTGAAAAAGTGAAATATAATTAATTAATCTTATGTCTTGCTGTGGTGTATGAGAAAAGGCTGCTTAACCTGCTTGACAATGTCATATTGATGAACACCTGGATTCCCTTGACAGTAGAATAAAATTAAGTCACATTTAGGGGAAAACCACACCCTGGAGATCATGAGACTCTCTTTAGGAAACTTTCTTTGAGGTCAGCATGATGTGCAGTGTTTTCACGACTGACGGCAAAATCCAGGTCATTATATTTTTGGCATTTCAGGCTGTACCCCCTTTAGCTACTTTATGTTGGAAATAATAAGAAGGTCCTGTGCTCCTTGGAAAACAAATGGGGTGAAGGAGCAGAAAGATCTGGAGCTACAAATGCACAATTGAAGAAACAAAATACAACTTACTAAGACTAGAAAAAGCAAGCAATACGCTGGGAATCATGTCTCAAAGGTTGTAATGAGAAACAGGGAAGTTTTATGTTTGCGCTAGAATGTGGAACTCACAACCACAGGGAATAGTTCAGGGAAATAGCATAGGTGATTTGATGACCTGTGTAACAGACTCAAAGGACTGAGTGATCTACTCCTTCTTCCAAGTCCTCGTGATTTAAAGAAAATATAAACAAACACTCAAGGGACATAATAATAGAAATGTATGATGATAGAGTTAGATGAAGAAGTGATGGGGAACGCCCCAGGAGGAGGTTCTGATGAAATACAAACTTTGTCATGGATCTGTTGATCTGAATAGTCTGTTTCTCTGTTATAAATACTTCATAAAAGACATTATCAATAACTTTCAGGGAGTTTTGGTGGTATTGTAATCCTGAAGCTAAGCTATTGCACTGCGAATACTGGTTCAAATCCTACCACAGCAGCTGGTGAAAATGACATTCAAATAATAGCTTGGGAATTGAAAATTAGTCTCAGTAACCAAAGAACTATCCTTCATTGTCAGGGAAAACCCAAATAGTTTACTAAGAGAAGTAAATTTGCATTTCTTACCTGGTCTGGTCTACACATGACTTTAGAAACAGGAATCTGGTTTTCTCTTAGATACCCTCTGAAATGGGCAACAAATGCTAACCTTACCTGCAGGATTGATGCCTCATGTAAGAAAAAACTGATGGAATATTGAACATAGCTGCAAATTATGTCACAACAGGTTCATGATACACTATAACAATGCCTTGTTGGATGGCATACAAGATACCACTGGGGCTTCTTCACTTTGCAAAGCAAAAAGAATTAGGGGATGTAATCCTGAAGTCCAACAGCACAGAAAAGATTTTATTAATTCAGTCACATTGAAGCAGTAGCTTGGTCATTGATGTTTGATCTGGAAAGTCATGGCTTTCAGCTTTTCTAAACGTATAGGAATCTTCCAAGGGTTGTTGCTTCATGTCTAGTGCGAGGCCTACAGAAATATTAGGAAGGTACTTCAAGATACACTGATTAACCCTCCACCCCTGGGTGGCTAATAATTAAAGACAAATGAGTGAGCAAGAACAGAGTTTCCACAGCAAACAAGTACAAACATTTATTTTTCTCTACACCCTCACTGCGATAAAATCACCATCCCCATTCATTTTTTGCACCTCAAAACAGTGTAGCACTTTATCTGCTTCAGCCCTCCCTTTCCCTATAATGTATAGCCCTTTCAAAAACTCAACCAACCAGAACTACGCCACCAAACTCCATTCTGGTCCGCTTTGTAGCCTTGCTGATGAGCCAAGAACCAACTGTCAGCATTCTCAAGACTTAAGGATAAAACACTCACCAATCATAGAAAAGAGGTCAGAGTGGTAAACAGACTCATTCTTCCTTTGATCCAAGTTTGGCCTGTATAGGATACGCGTGATTGTAAGTCCAAAATAAGCACCAAACGCATGGATAACCATCGAACCACCAGCATCTCTAGCCTTGGAGAGAAAGAGATTTGAGAAACTCCGTGTTAAGTGTTCGTTGTTTATTGACTTAGGGGAAAGCTTCTTCTCCTCAGTTTCTCTAAAGTTTGAATCTTACCTACATCAAGAACCATCACTTTAGACCTCCTTAAGAGATCAAATCTGAAATGTGTGCAACACCTACAGGTATTTGGACAGGGCTGGGTTGAAAGTTGACTACAAGTATTGTAATTGACCGCAGTGAAAAGGCCACAATAGGAATGAACCATGAAGGCAGCACAGTGGCTGAGTGGTTAGCACTGCTGCCTCACAGCAGCAGGGACCTGGGTTCAATTCCACCCTCCGTGACTGTCTATGTGGAGTTAGCACATTCTTCCTGTTTGTGTGGTTTCCTCCCACAGTCCAAAGATGTGCAGGTTGGATGGATTGGCCATGCTAAAATTGCATATAGTGTCTAGAGATGTGCCGGCTTGGTGCATTAGTCATGGGAAATGCTGGGTTACTGGGACAGGATAGGGGGTGGGATGCTGTTTGGAGGGTCTGTGTGGATTCGATGGGCCAAATGGCCTGTTTCCATGCAAACACTGATGAGGGTTTTAACAGCACTAAGCCAGTCAAAAATGAGAGGTAGCAACATCAATGAGTCGTGGGACATGAAATGTAAAATTCAATCTGGATTCAAACAGAGTTCAGAGAATGAGGTTAAGACTTAATGTCAAGTCAAGGAGTCTGATGAGTCCAAAGTAGTCAGGTAAACTTATGACTACAAAATAACATTGATCTTTGAGCTTTAGAATTTGATGCTGGAATTCTAGAGCACAGGGACTGTGCCACCAATAGTTTAGTAGTACAAGGGAAAGCCTAATGCTGGAGAGCTTGAGGCGCAATAGCACAGGGTGTGATCTAATTGAAGCCTAAGCAGATTAGCTAACCCAGGGCTAGGAAATTCTGCAAATAGAGTTTGTGCAACAAATACCACTGAAGCAGTCAATATAACTATGTTCCTGGTTTCCAGGAACAAAAAGAGCAGAGGGCAGCATGCAATGTAATCCAACTGTATACAATGAAATTGGCCGGAGCCCATACTGTGATGGACCATATTCAATGAAATAGGTTTCTAAAGGCAGATGAGATTGAGGGCAATGGTGGGTCCTTAGAGCTGATCTACCAGACAGATGGTTGCCCCTAACAATTGTTACATATTCCAAAAATTACTCATGTTCGGTGATCAAAAATCTTCAAATGGTTCTTGCAATGTCATTTGTGACAAGAAAGACAAGGGGAAGTGATGGCCGAGAGGTATTAATCTAAAATATTAATCCAGAGACCAAAGTAACGTTCTTGGGACCTGAATTTGAATCCCACCATGGTGGAATTTGAATTCAATAAAGAATAAAATGTGGATTTAACAGTCTAATGATGACCGTGAAACCATTGTGGTTGTCAGGAAACCACATCTGGTTCCGTTACGCCCTATAGAGAAGCAAACTGCTATCCTGGCCTACATATAACTCCAGACCCACAACAACTCCAGACTCTAAACATCCCACTGTGCAATTAGGGATGAGCTGGTCTGGTCAGTGATGCCAACATCCCGTGAATGAATAAAAACAAAGTAGAAAATTACAAGATAAGATAACTCACCCCTAAAACGGTCAGGATGATAAATTCATTCACTGCGTAGAGAGTCACTTGAAACAGTGACATGATCAGCAGTTGGACAGGACTCACTTTTCCAAGAACACCTCCAAATGCGATCAACACTGAGGCAGCACAGAAATCAGCATTTATCAGACTGGGAAAGTGAGGAACAAGATAACATGAAGGTGTTGAGACAGGGTGAACTATTCACTATGTTTTGTCAATGGCCACAGGCCAAGCCTTTGCAACCAAGAACCAGAGATTGCAGAAGCTAATGTATGAATATCTAACATGATCACCCCAAAATCCTCTTTCTGCTATACATCTTTAATAAAACCGAGATTGTAACCAGTAAAGCAGGTTGAAAGACGAATTTGACAAATGCGTTCATAATCAACAATTATTTTTACGCTTCAACCTTGCTGTCTACATTTAGTTTGGTCAATCTCTCTCCATCTCTGCTGATCATCTCCCTTGGTCTCCTTACTAACTCGTCATTTCGCTCTGGCTTTCTGTTTGTAGCTTCTTTTCCTGTTTCTTACACTGTTTTTCCATTTCATCATCTGCTTACAGTTTTCTCTAGATACGAACATATGAATTAAGAGTAAGATTGAGTCATTCAGCCCTTCGAGTTTGCTCCACCATTTAGTAGGATCATAGCAGATTATAGCCTCAATTCCTGTTTCCTGCCCGCCCCAGTGCCGTTTGGCTCCCCTTGTCAATCAGGTTTCGATCAATATCAGGCTTAAAAATATTCAATGACCCTACCTCCAGTGCTCTCTCAGGAAGAGAATTCTACAGACAAATGAAACAAAAGTCTGTGGATGCTGGAAATCTGAAACAATAACAGAAATTGCAAGGGAACCTCAGCAGGTCTGGCAGCATCTGTGGAGAGGGGAAGAGAGTTAACATTTTGAGTCCAGTGACCCTTCCTCACAATGTTAATTTTGTCTCTCTCTCCACAGATACTGCCAGACTCACTGAGTAATGACTTTATCTGTCTGTCTCTCTCTCTCTCTATCCATCACTCCTTCCACATTTCTGATTTATTTTCCCTGTTACTTGTCTTTCTCTCTGCCTCATAAAAGCTCTATCATGGCTGCAGTGATGCAAGTGGCTTTAGATTTCCAAAAAGCAGAAAGAGCAGAGGGCAGCATGCAATGTAATCTAAGAGTATACAATGAAATTGGGTGGAGCACATACTGTGATGAATTGCATCCAATGCAGATATCGCTGTATAGAGGGTGGCCGCATCTTATTTTGCACTAGACAATAAAATTATGGAATAACAACTGTAAAATAAACCTCTGGACTTACCTTTCCAGCCTGGGCTAAATCACAGAATAGCAGAAGCTCTTTCTCTAATAGATTGGTTCAGCATCTACTGTAGCCACCCTCTGTGGCTCGTGGTTTCCAAATTCAAAAATGTTGTGCTTAACAACTTGGGGGATCTTACAGCAGAGTCGCAGGGTACCCACTAGTCTTTCAAAGAGGAATCTGTGAATGGAATCTTGGGTGCTATCTCCACCTAGTGGTGGGTTTTGGATCTTACAAGGAAATTCTGAATACTCACAACCGCTCCATCACATCATTACATCATAAAATGTGTGTTGATAGAAAGCAGTTTAATTTTAACGTGAAATCTCTTGAATTGAACACGGGCAGGAATTAATCTCACTTCATACCAGCCTCTGTAAAGGGTCATCCGGAAAGTATTGTAGAGAACTGCATTCTAGAAATGACTACTGCATATTTAAGGGGACTGATTTTTTAAAAATATTCTTTCACGGGATGTGACTATCATTGGCAAGGCTAGAACTTGTAGCCTGTCCCTCATTGCCCTTGAACTGAATGGCTTGCTAAGCCAGCTGACAAACCCCCATTTCTGAAGAAGGCTCCCGACCTGAAACGTCAGCTTTCCTGCTTCTGTGATGCTGCCTGGCCTACTGTGTTCCTCCAGCTCCACCTGTATCATCTCAGACTCCAGCATCGGCAGTTCTTATTATCTCTAAACCACATATCACTTAGGTTCAGGGAGCCAATGGACAATGGAGGTATAAATTATAAGATTACAAAACGAGAAATCCTGAGATCCAAGCTAATGCTTTGGGGACCAGGTCAAATCACACTTTGTAGCTGGTGGAAATTAAATTTCAACAATAATCCGGGAATAAAGGTAAAAGTCACTGTAGTCCCAGCTGAATATACAGCTGCTGTCTCATTAGAGAGAGACAACTGGGGGTGATTTAACCTAAGAGTCACCATGCCTCAAACAAGGGGTGAAGTTGAAAACGACAGTTCTTCATGGTAACCTCAGCCAGTGTGGGAATTGAACCAGTGCTGTTGGCATCACTCTGAATCGCAAACTAGTCATCCAGCCAACTAAGCAAACCGACCCACATCGGCTAAGTTTATGTGAAGGTTACGCCTTCTTAATCTCAACCTTTGCTTGTGAAGTGGAAACCCTAAGGTTAAACTCACCACCGGTTACCTCTCTCTAATGAGAGAGCAGTCCAATGGTCCTCTCTGATTATGGCTACTTTTTTACGTCACTGGTCTCAGTAAAGGTGAATGCATCTTGCTAATGCCCATTAGGGAGGGAAATATGCCTTCCTTTGTCTACACTGTAGGCCCACAGTAATGTCATTAATTTCTAAATTGTCTCATAATCACTCAATTCTACGCATGCCTACATCTTATGAAACGGGAGAAAATTTTGATTTTAAATCACCTAATCTGACCTGTAAAATAGCAGGAGGACAACTGACCGTCAGCTCAGATGAATTTCAGAAACATTACATTTGAACTCACTGAATAAAAACAACAGCTTCTACGATCCTAAAATCCTATCTCTGCATATGTTACTGCGCTGAAAAAGGGTCACTGGAACCAAAATGTTAACTCTGCTTTCTCTCCACAGATGTTGCTAGAACTCGAGTTTCTTCAGCAATTTCTGCTTTTGTTTCTGGATTTCCAGCATCTATAGTTCTTTGGGTTTTTTTTGGTTAAGTACATGCTCAACCTAGATCCTGTATACTTCCAATTAAATATTAGATAAGGGCTTTTGTCTTTAATTGAAAATACTGAATACAAATTTTGGCCCCTTTTCCCACGTCGGTATCAAATGCGCCCTACATGTCATTTCTACCTCTTAGTTTCCCAATTGAGATGTGACCAGTGTCTAAATCATTGCTTCCAGTTTATGGGTCTAAAACAGACCCAATGATAACCACTTTTACACAGCGGAGGCCCATACTTGATCCAGACAAGAATATGGATCATTGCTTGATTGATTACAGTCTTTTATTTAATTTGTCCAGGAGGTTCAAGACGCATTGAAATTCCTGTTTTCATTTTGGACCCGGATTCCTGTTTCTCCCCATTAAAACCTGGGACACAGAAACTGAAGCTCATATTTTTGGCCCCTGTCCTTATTTTTCTGTGCATTTAAAGACCACACCCTCAACCTCAGAAAGTCTTCTCAAACACTTCAAGCTCGCACTTGCCTGCCTTTCTGGAGATTAGCCTTCATCCCTTACCTTTCCACACCAATTTTGATTTTCCCATCGCTAAAATCTAAGGAATGAAACCAGCCCTGCATCAGCAGAGCCCATTGGATGCTGAATGATGCAATGAGGAAGTTGAAGCCGATACTTCCAAATCCATATCTCTTCAAGAAGGTCATCAGAAACCCGAATCCCACAAAAACCATCACGTGTACATCTTGGAAACCTGAAATCAAAGCAAAGGAATGATCTGAGTGTCAATTCAAGCTCTTTATAAGGCCTCCCCTTCCAGAAAGTGATCTGCAACTTTCCAGCTACTGTTTGCAGCTGCATAATGCTGAAGGCAAAATAAATATGTTCACAACATCTTCACAGATTGAAGGCTAGCTAATTCACACACAGCAAGATCTCACAGACAGCATGTGACAATAGTGGAAGGATAAACATTGGCCTGCACACCATTGGGGAACACCTTGAATGTTAGCCTGTGATCTCTGATGTCCACCCAAGAGGGAAAACTGGGCCATGAATTGACATTTTATTTCAAAAACAGCTGTATTAGAAAGTCTACCAAGATCATATGCTAACATCTCTGGGCTTGGGAGAAAACTGAGTTGTCCAATTTCAATCTGAGAGCAGCTATTTCCTAATCAACATGTTTAGAGATGTTGTGGCACATCTGAAAGCAGGTGGGATTTAAACCTTGGTTTTCTGGCTCAGAGGTAGGGACCCTACCACTACATCACAAGAGCACCGTCCAAGTTGAGAGTGTTACCACTGAGTCACTGCTGTCCTCGAGGACATGGATCAGATTGTCAGACCTTTCATTAGAGTTCAGGATCAGGAAGTAATTTTACAGAACATTCATTCAAGTGATGAAATGAGTTGGAACAAAAAATGTGATCAGATGCGCTGTAACAGTGTGTTGAAGCAGATTAAATGAATGGAACATACGGAATGGTGGCCAACATGGTTTCCTACTGAAGAACAAGACATGGACCATCTCACTGATCTTCCAAAACACAAAATGTTAAAACCACAGCAAAGACTTGGATCACATTCCAAAATGGAATCATTTGATTGCTGTGATTTAAACCAAGTTTTACTGTTGCTAGAAACAATTCCTCCATGCTCTGATCTCTTACTTACTTTCTCTCCTTCTATCCCAAATTGTCTATTGATATCACTCTCTCTGACAGCCTGTCTCTCCAATGCTTCCTCTATATTATTTGTACCATGATCTTTCTCCCATTTCTCTCTCCTCTTCTTATCTTACTCAATTTTATCTATTCCATCATGGCTGGATAGGTTGGGACTTATTCACTGGAGCATAGGAGGTTCAGAGGCGACCTTATAGAAATTTATAAAATAATGAGGGATATAGATAGAGTTAATGGTAGTTGTCTTTTCCCAAGAATGGGGGTTTTCAAGACTAGAGGCACATTTTTAAGGTGAAAAGAGAGAGATTTGTAAAAGACAGGGGCAAACCTTTTAGGCAGAGTGTAAAAAGTGTTTGTGTGTGGAATGACCTTCCAGAGGAAGTGGCGAATGTGGGTACAATTACGTTGTTTAAAACACATTTGGATAAGTACATGAATAGGAAAGGTTTGGAGGGATATGGGCCAGGTACAGGCACTAGTTTAGTTTGGGATTATGGTCAGCATGTACTGTTTGGACCGAAGGGTCTGTTTCTGTGCTGTATGACTCTAACTCTCTGTGGCACTTTCTGTTACACTGTCTCCTTCCCTGCCTCCTTTCTTGCCTTGTATTCTTTTTGAATGTGTATAAATGGTGATGCTTCTTGCAGTTCCTGGCATGTTTCTTTCTGACATTGCCCCTTTTTGTCATATTCTTTCTGAACGTATCTCTCTCTTTCCTTCACTCAGTGATGCTTTTCCCTTTGGCCCTGCCCTGTTTCCCTTTTCATCCCATTCTCATCTCAGGTCATCATATCCTGCCCTTGTACTCTGAACATTCAATGTTTTTGTACGTGTTCTTGCCTATGCTATGTAGTCCCTGTCCCTCTCTGACATCCCCAAATCCCTCAGAGCAATGACTGCACCACTTCCACCTCCACAGTAACCCCTGTCTCAGCACTTTTACTTTCAAATCCTTCAAGCGTGCCTGTAGTACTATTATAGTACTGTAGTAATGCCTGTAGGGTCCACTATCCCAATGTCACCTTAGTCCAAATTCCTTTTTTCACTCTGCATCAGTTCATTAAAACTGTTGCCGCCTGTATCCCACTCAGCACCAACTTTCTCTCCCCACTACTCATTTCCAGAGCAACCTCCCAGTCCCTCAGATTCCAAACCAAGTCTTTGTATTCAAATCACTCCCACGTGTCAAAGAGTCACAGGGCATAGAAACAGGCCCTTCGGCCCACCATGTCAATGCCAACCCACAAATGCTAGCCCCATTTACCTGCACTGGGTCCTTAAACTACTATGCCTTGGCATTTTAAGTACTCATTCTTCTGAAGAAGCATGTTTCTCTGTTGTAAGAGTAACTGCTGCCACCACCCTATCCAGCAAAACTTCCATCTATCTACCATTCTCTGGGTGAGAAAACTTTTCACCAGATCTCCTCTAAACCACTTACTCCTCACTTTAAACTTGTGGCAACCTCAAAGGGAAAATACATCTAACAACAAATCATAGAAACCACTCAATGAACACTGAAACGTAACATTAAAATATGTACAAAAAATAAACCGGTCAGAAATACAGATAGCCAAGACTGCAAATAGACAATAGGTCCATTTGAACCATCAAGATTAGAAAACATGCTGAGCTTTCTTTTTCTCTAGCCTGCAGCTCTGAACCTAATTATAGAAATTCAGACCATCAAACAATGCCGTGACTACAATCCAAGGACAGAGCCTGGCACCTCCCGGCTCTGCTGTGGTGTAATATTACAAATGGAGACAGAGGCAAGACCGTGCGGATCCTGGAAATCTGAAACAAAGACAGACAATGCTGGAGAAACTGTTCTGAAGAGTAGTCATACCAGACTCGAAACGTTAACTCTGTTTCCCTCTCCACAGGTGAAGCCAGACCTGCTACGTTTCTCCAGCGTTCTCAAATGCAGAGTTTGCCATGGACGTAAGAGGAACAGCAAGGATATTTCCCTTTCTCAACTCCCTCTCCAGCATTTGCACTTTTTGATGAATTGTCCAAACTCTATTTATGGTAGATGTAGATAGACAGTGGATTAAAAACAAAACAAAGGTAGTTAGACTTGAGTTAGGAATTGATTGGACCAGTTGAGGGAGAGCGGTCGTGTAAGAATGATCCTGTACTTACTGGGGTACCTGAAGTAGAAATCGTTTTCCAATACGCTGGTGATATTCCGGGTTCTTCTGATGACATTCCAACGCGCGCTGGATTCGTCATCGTATCGAATGAAGACCCCGAAGAGGATAATCATTGCTAGTTGCCAGATGAAACAGATCAGAGGCAACTTCCATCGCATCAATGTGTCCTTCATTCTTCAGCGACCAGGTACAGTACACCAGGGAACAGCTTGGGGACAAGCGGGGTGTATCCTTTACTATCTGGTGCTGGTGGTTTGAGAGGAACTACTCACGGTTCCAGCAAATTTAAAGCCTTGGAGAGGGAGGCGGGGACTCAAGTTGTATTCCTTCAAAAGAATTAAGTCCGACTGGTTGATCCAAAGTGTTTTCTTTGCCTCTCAGAAAATTAACTTTGATGAATTTAAAAACAAAACAATATTGAAAAAAAAACCCTCCAACTCTAACCCTAACCCACCTTGGCAATTGAGTCGCAGTTTGACGGCACACTGGTTAGGTAGGACCTTGTAGAAAGAACTTGCATTTATGTAGCGCCTTTGACGACCTCGTGAACGTGCCAACGGGTTCTGCAACCAATTATACTTCTTTCTGATGTGTTAGTCACTGTTGACATGTAAGAACCGCGGCAGCTAGTTTGAGGACAGGAAGCACCCACTAAAAATAATGCTGCTTGAGGGCTAGAAGTTGATCAGAAACTGGATGGAGGGGGTTGGGCGTGGGCGATGTGATGGGGTTGAGGAAGGATCTCTCTTGCTTCTCTCAGAAGTTGTTTCCTTGAATCTTTTACGTCTATGTTATAGGACATAATGAGGGTCCAAGAGATCTTTGTTATTCATTCATGGGATGAGGGTGTCACTGGCTAGGCAGCATTTATTGCTCATCCTTAATTGCCCAGAGGGTGGCTAAGAGTCAACCATAATGCTTTGGGTCTGGAGAGTAACATGTAGGCCAGACCAGGTAAGGATGGCAGTTTCCTTCCCAAAAGAACACTAATGAACCAAATGGGTTTTTCCCCAACAATTAATTCATGGTCATCATTAGATTCTTAATTCCAGATTTTTTTTATTGAATGCAAATTCCATCATCTGCGGTGGCAGGATTTGAACCCAGGTCCTCAGAATGCTATTTGGAGATCTGGATTAACGGTTTAGCGGTAGGAACACTGGGCCATCGCCTCCCCAGGGAGTACTCGCTAAGAGTACTTACTAAGCGAGGTCTGAAGGAGTGGTATGTGCACATGGATTGTGGCTTCACATTCCACCCAAATAGCAACTGGAATTAGCGTGGATTTTGTGCTTAATTGGCAGTAATTACATCCACACTTTGACTTAGCAATAAAGGTGCTCTCCGTAGCACCCCGCATCAAGTGTGAACTTGCCTGTACTTGTTCAAAATGGCCGCCAGGCAACGCTCCATCTAAGCTGTACACACACTTGGCCTTTCGGATGCTCTGCTCTGCTCACATCTACAAACTGTTGAATAAATTATTGGAGTGTTGCTGCCCAGAAGAGCAAACGGCAAGCTGGAATCGCCAGTTTTAATCAACCACCTCCTGATATCTGCCTGTAAGGGACCGGGACCCTCCGGCAGTGGAAGAGGAGCCCAGAACCAAGACCTCAGCCGAGATACCCAGGAGCAGCATCTGGACAACATTGGGTGAGGAGTGGGAACTGAATCATTCGACAAACAACAACTGGACACTGAAAAGAAAATGGAAAAGATGAACCAAAAATACCAAAGCTATTACTGTAATTTCATGCAATGTAATCAGAAATCCAAAATGGCGCTGGAGACTGACGACTCTTTGTAAATACCACGCAAAACAATACTTTTCATTGTATTTCAGTACATGTGACAATAAATCTAATCTTATCTAATATCATTCATGTATGGGTCAGAAAGTCAAAGGGCGATGTCCTACTCCAAGATTTCAACTTAAAAATCAAAGTTGCCAACCCGAGAGCCATGCTGAGCGGGTGCTGCCTTTCCAATGAAGGTCTATCTGACCTCTCATCTAAAAAATCTTTTGGCACTACTTTGAACAGGGCAGACAAGTTCTTGTCAGTAACAAGCACAAGGAATGGTGGAAAATCTTAACCAATCTGCCAGCATCTGTGGAGGAAGAAACAGAGTTAATATTTTGAATCTGCCAAAATTCTTCTTCAGACTCATTCCAAGCTCAAAATGTTGCCTCTGTTTCTGTCTGCACACATGCTGCCGACCTGCTGAGTTTCTCCGCTGTTCCCTGTGTTTGTTTCAGATTTCCATCATTTGCAATATTTTAACCTTTTTTCAAGTTCTCTTCAGTGTCCTGGTTGATATTTATTCATTAATCAACATCACAAAGCTGATTATCTGTTTATTAGCACAGGGCTGCACACAAATTTGCTGCAATATTTCCTACGACAGTGACTAAACTTAAAAAGAAGTGCTTCATTTGCTGTAAAATACTTTGGAGGGGTGGTTGGAGGGTGGGGGCATCCTCTGGATAAGTAAGGTGCTACATAAATGCATTTTTTTCTTTGAATAGTACCATAAATGCTGCCTGATCTGCTTGCTGAGTTGGGCATTTCTGTTATTGCTTCAGAATACGCAGCAGTGACTACACAACGTAGCCTGTCCTCCTGTAATTCTCAAATTTGTACATTTTAGTTTTGTAGAATACTTCAGTTACACTGACAGACATAAGAATAAAGGTCTTTGCACCATGAATGATCATCATGCATTTTTAAAATAAACATGTTTACAAAATAGGAATAATCTAAATTCCAGCAGATTGTTTTATCTTATTGTAAGATTTGTGATTGATCTTTCAGATATTTCCAGGGTCTTTAATTTATGAAATAGTGTTCCAGGTAAACCAGTTAAGGCCATGTCCAATAATGCCAATGAATTGAATATCATTTAGGTAAAAGACTGATAGTTATGTGTGTAGCTTGAAGATGGCTGGGGCCATAGAGATCTGACAACAGCGATGTAGTTAGTCACACGGTTGTACTACATTCCTCTGCCTGCCCACAGTGATAAAGGATGAAAGTTGCAATTTTCTACAACACATTGGGTAGTTAGTCACAGGGTATGATGAATTCCTCTGACAGCCAATTGACTAAGTACCCAACATGTTGTAGAAAATTGCAACATTCATGCCTTATCCATGGTGAGTTAGCTCACTCAAATAGGGTAGTCCTTGGGATGCTACATTTTACATTGATGGGATTTACAATATGACCCCTCTCCAGTCATAGAAAATGTGGAGGATGGAGGGGAAATGACAAAATTGTGCTCAGTTGAGATAACCTCCATATTTGATTATCTGTCAATAAGCTTATCAACCTGCTTTGACAGCCCTTTCCAAACCCATAGCCTCTACCAGCTAACAGTACGGCACACATATGAACATGCCACCTGCAAGTTCCCCCTCCAAGTCACATACTGCAGTCATTTAGAGCTATGTCACTTTTCCTCCTCTGTTGCTGGGTCAAAATGGCAGAACTTTGTCCTACATCACTGTAGATGTACCTACGCTATGTAGATTGCATAGTTCAAGGAGGTGGCTCACCACTACCTTCTCAAGGGCAATTAGGAACAGGTAACAAGTACTGGCCCAGCCAGCGGCACCCACATTCCATGAAAGAATGAATTGAAAAATTCCAATTTGCAAACATATCAGTACAGAGTCAACAAAAGCACTTGAGAAGCCTGTTTTATTTTCTACATATTGAAAGAAAATTGGGCAAAGTTGGAAAGAAGATGCCATCACCTAACTTCCTCTCCCCTTCAAAATCCATTTCCATCGCAGCAGAATCTAGCGAGACCAAGGATGTAACCAACCTCTCCTGTAAGGTTGTGGTCCTGGGTGCGAATGTCCAAATGCACAAAGATTTTCATTCCCAAAGACGGGTGAAAAATAGAATTAAAAGTTGGGATGTCACGTGGCAGCTGTACAGGACATTTGTTTGGCCACTTTTGGAATACCGTGTTCAATTCTGATCTCTCTGCTGTAGGATGGGTGTTGTGAAATTTGAAAGGGTGCAGAAAAGATTTACAAGGATGTTGCCAGGATTGGAGGCTTTGGGCTACAGGGAGAGGCTGCGGCTACTTTCCCTGGAGTGTCGGAAGATCAGTGGTAACCTTATCGAGGTTTATAAAATCATGAGGGTCATGGATAAAGCGAATAGCCAAGGTCTATTTCCCAGGGTAGGGGTGTCCAAAACTAGAGGGCATAGGTTTAAGGTGAGAGGAGAAACATTTAAAAAGAAGCTAAGGGCCAAATCATTCACGCAAAGGGTGGTAAGTGTTTGGAATGAGCTGCCAGAGGAAGTGGTGGAAGCTGGTACAATTACATCATTCAAAGTCATCTGAATGGGTACATGAAGAGGCAGGGTTTAAATGGATATAGGCCAAATGCAGGCAAATGGGACCAGATTAATTGAAGATATCTGGTCAACATGGAAAAGTTAGACCAAAGGGTCTATTTCCATGCTGTACAACTCTATGATTAAAGCCTACAGGAAGAAAAGCCTGTATAGTCCCTTTCCAACTTGCTTAAGTGATCAAATCTAGCCTCAGCAATTAATGAGATCCCAAATTATACTGTAGGAAGTCTAATTTTGCAGAAGATGATTTCTTTTCCAGCCAGAAACAGGTTCAGGTTTGCTCTGAATGAACACAATGATTCAGTATTCACTACACAACACAACAGCTCCGCTATGTTTTACAAATAGAAGATTCTCCTAACACCTAACATAGCTCTGCCTTTGCATGACTCATTGGCATGACCCTTTAGTTCTCCTTGACCTATTGCATTAAAATAATGCATCCACACCTATTTAAAAGTTTTATTCAATGATTGTGTGCATCACTAGTAAGGCCAACAATTATCACGCACCCTGAAATGCACTTGATTAGCTGATCATGAATTACTTACGACTGAATGGTTTGCTAGGCCATATCAACAGATAATAATTAAGACATAACTACTTAGTGTGGGCCAGATTGGGCAGAGCCAGACTTGATTTAATTTCAGTTTTATAATTTAATTGAATTTAAAGTCCCTAAGTTGCCTGGGTAGGGTTTGAAACCATGTCTGCAGAGCACTAATCCAGTAATATTATTATTGTGCTTCCATCACAACACCTTATCCCTTCATTACCTATAAATAAGCATTAATTTCACAAGATTCTAACTTGCTGAGAAACTCCTGTGACCTATCTTACGAAAATCTTTCTGGAAGTCCAAATGAAACATGT